TTATCTACTGAAAGCCTCATAATGTATGATCACCCCAAAAGTATGCCAGTTATATTGGGTATATATTAAAAATAATGCATTAAAGAATCACTGTTGTTGAAGGAACAGAGTAATAAGTTTCTCATAGAGGTCCTGCTTACAGTCAAGAGTAAAGCATGAATGGTAAGTTAATTTATTCTGAGTGTAAAGTAATAAACTTTAATATTTGAAAAATCTTAAAAAATTGAAAGATTTGGATACAATGTTATTATCTACCCAAAAATGTAGTTTTGGTCCTTACTGTCTGTCCAGGACTATTCTCCAAGGTTGTGGTTCATTCCTTTAGCGTATTTGTTCCCCCACTAATGCTGGAGAATCAGACCTGCTTTAGGAGAGACTGGCATTTATACTATTATTTTATTGGCACATCCACAGGATGCAAACGTGGTGTCCTTGGAGACTTCAGACTTGCCTTTGAAGTTTCAAAGCATAAACCCCTTTAGTGATTTAGATGACTTTTTCCTTTTATGTAGTGGCCTTGCCTTTAGCCGTCTACCTGCTGAAAGCTCGCTAATGGAATACTCTTACTTTTATTTGAGAATCTGTCCCTTTGCTTAATAGAGTTGCTGAACGGTTCTTCTGCCACTATGTACTTTCTCCTCGAAAGATCAGTTCTTGTAAAATTGATTCCCAGCATTCTTCTAACCATACACATGAGGAGTTCTTTTGTGATCTGCATCAGTTTGTCATTTAGGGTTCAACTTCTCAGGAAGCGTAACAAGCAACAAAAATCTTTTCATGGCCTCATAAAACTTGATATTTATATATTTCTAACATTTCTCAATTCAAGTAATGACTCAGATGATTCCTTTAAAAGCCCGCATAATGTCTTCATGACATTGGTTGACACCTAGAGTGCCCCTCTTGCTCCCTTCGATGCATCTCTCTTTTTAGGTATCACCCACTCTCCAGCAATATGAAGGGCCCAGATTGTTTCTTTTCCTTTCTTGGAGGATGCACATTTCCCATTTCCTTGGAGAACCCAACAGACCTAGCTTTTTGAGGTTATCTTATTCTTTCACAGTAGAGCTCTTCTGCCTTTTATAAATAGGCAAAAACTAACTGGAAGAGAAACTGAACTAATGTCCAACCTCCAAGTGGATGTCTTGTCCAGCAAACTAGAGCATCTTGCCCTTAACCTTAAAAGCCAAGTGCTTCCTCCAGTGTGAAAGAGCTCTAATAAAAGGAGGAAGTTCTCCATACTCTGTTCACTTAGAAGTGGAGAACCTTATTTCCAATCGATTCTCCTCAACCTGTTTCCAAGCTAGGATTTAATACAAGTGCAGAAAGGTTGAACCTGGGTCTTCTACTTCATTGATCTGTAATTTCACCATGAACCATATGATGGGGGTGGCAACAACCACTGCACATTGTGGTTTTGACCTGAATTTGCAGTTAATTCCTGGATGACTGAAACCACCTTTTTTGGTGAGTTTGCTGTTAATTGTGGGGGGAAGGTTGCTTGTATCTATCCAGGAGGAAGTTCATGTTCTCCTCTTTTTTTTTTTTTAATAATCAGAAGGAATTATTATTCTTCCTAGATACAGAGACAAAAAGAGTGAGAAGGCGAGGTTCATAAAAAATATGTTGTTAGTCTTGAAGAAATGGAAGGTTTGGAAATCCTGTGACAATCACATGAATTAAATTAGTTTTTTGGAACTGAAAATCCCGAAGAATAGAGAGGGAAGCCAAACAAAGATAACAATAAAATCCTCTTTTCCTTATTCTCTTGGGCTTGACAGATTTTCATTCCATAATAAACCACCCTTATCTGTATGAAATCCCTTTTAGTATTTTCTGAATACTTGTTTCATCTAGTCTTACACAGGCAGTATTTGACATGAATTTTGAAAATAAGTTAAAGTGTTCAGTTCTTAAATAAAAGTTCTCTTATGGATCATATTGACACTTCTTTGATTACAAAATGAAAAAATAAGTGCTGGGTCATCTCAGAAATCAGTAATCTTTAAAAACTTCATTTTCTTCTATGGGAATGATTGGTGCTGTCAGATTTCACGCGCTCTCTAAATATATGTTTGTTTGCTATGACTATGAGAAACTTAGCTTTGGGTGCTGATGTGACCAAAAATAAAATAACAGGAATTTGAGGCTAGAGCAAATACATTTAAGAAGAGAAGTTAAAGATATTACTTTCTTCCTCACAATGCAAAATATGTAAGATTAGTTGACGCTTTTGATGTACCATGTGTTTTAATGAAGACAGATTTGGAAATGGGAGAGAGAGAGGCCTTCTCTAAGATAACCAGTAACCTGATGGGCAAAACACTGCTGTGAAAAGTAGATAAGGGGCAGGTGTTCCTTTTAAGTTTTCTTTCCGTGTCAGGAACACCATTGTCAGAGATTATTTTGAAGAAGAGTTCTCTAGTACAGAAAAGAGTGTTGTTCAGTCAAACAGCATATGTTTCAACTTGATTCTATTTCAAGTTTTATAGGCAAAGAGTAATTAAAATTTCTCAGCACATTTTTCACGCAGGTATCGAGATGAGTTTTGTCCATGAAGACTAGTTTAAACCAATGAAGTCATGCTGATTAACACTAAAGTGAAACAAAAATTTGGCTATAATGATTGTACTTCACTCTGGAAGAGTTAAAGGGCTTGACTGTAAGAGTCGGTTGTATAGCTGAATTACGCTCATTGCAAGTTCCTTTTTACATCATAAAACATGCAGTGTAGCATTGCTATAAAGATGTTTCTATAAAGAAATATGCTTTGAGACTCAAAAATCTATACTCGCACCTCCTGTGTTTGTACAGAAGGGACAAATAAAATATGCTCAAACTTTTATGAGATTTTTTTTTCTTTAAAATTAGGTTTCTCCTTCTCACTGATTAAATAATGATTGAGTAGATTTATATATGTTTCCCAGGACTTTTTCCAGGATTTCTAAAGGTAGGAATTTCTCCAAGCACCGCAATTAATTCCTGAATGCCATGTTATTTTATAGCATCTTTCCCTTATAAGTGTTACCTAAGCTAACTCCTAAAACTGCTCTTACAGTAGAGATACCTTTCTGTTTTAGGTAGTGGCTAATGAGTTGTTAGAAGGTAAGCCATATTCTAGATGTGTCTCCTAGCCCAAGATCCAAGTAAGCCAAACACACACTTGACAAGCGCATGTGTCCACCATTCTTTCTCTTGAATAAATTTGAGATCTGAGGGACTGAACAAGAGTTCCTAACAGCTGTTTAATATTAATGAAGAGAAGCCACAATTTTCATGAAAGTAGATTCAGTACAATGCATAGATATTCAGTGTTTATCACATTTCTTGAAATGAGAAATTGATTATCTTAAAATATGACAGCTTTCTAAACCTGTAGGTAGTTGTAATTAGAATAACACAGTCATCTGTCTGCTGTGGAATCCCTCAGGATTTTGGTCTATTATAAAATTTGCAAATATGGAAAAATCAAATTAGTTTGGGTTATTATCATTTGCAAGATAAGGAATAAGGAAAAATAACTGATAAGCCACGATGCAGTTGCAATGTTTAATTATAAACAGTAACACAAATCTTACTTGACGGTTACTTTCTGCTAGCAGCAATCATATTAGTCCGATGTGGATTCAGATGAGAGTAAAAACATATCTAATGTGGACATTAAATATTAATGAACTCCCTTTCCCACAGTTGATACTTTCCAGTTTGGTTTTATTTTTCTTTTGCCTTAAAAATAAGCCATAATCATTGAAAGCCAAATCATGGATGCCACTACAATAGGGAATAGGATGGCAAGGAACTGAAATTTGCTGTAGTAGTAAAATAGTCATTGTACACTAGGGGTATGAAGGTCTTAAAATAAGCAATTCCTCTTCCTATTATTAGAAAATTCCAGTTCATTGAAACAGAAATGTTTTGTGGAGATGTAATAGTTTTCACATGGTTCCAAAAGACCAAGTTCTGAAAGAATTTGACTTGCAGATTCATCTAAGATGTGAGTGGCTAGACTTTTTAACTGGTCTATGCCATATGTTGCAGATGGCCCAAATTCAGGAATGCTAAGACCTTTCAGGATCAACTGGTTTTTTTTGGTAGCTCTGGTTGTGCAGATGACCTTGCAGCTGAGTTCTCTGTTTCCACTCTAATGATGTTTTTGAAACAGTTCTGTTGTGTGCTGCACAGAACCTAGGGCTTTTCAGTCTTGGCCATAAAACCCAAATCTTGGAAAGTGTTCCTTCTCCGGATGAGGCTAAGTTCTCAGGCTGAGCAAAATTTCATAGGAACTTTCTACTATTTAATGAAGATGGTCTTCTAATGATCAGCAATGAACTGAGAAATTTTAAAAGTATCAATGGAAAGCTCTCAGTATAGGACTTCTCAGAGGAAGTAACAGATGAGAAATGCAGGACTACACCCCAAATTTAGTGCGCTGAAGGAGAAAGAAGGGTATTGTTCCCTTCTTGCATTATTTGATGAGTCTTTAAAGACAGGTACCCACTTTAAAGCTACTATTAACAAAAGTCATTTTGCATTTTACCAGTTTATATTTTTTAATAAAAAATATAATTGGATTGAAAATGTGATTCTTTCTTAGGGATGTTGCTTCCAAAGACAGTTTGAATATTTGAGATGACCACTGCTCAGAGAGGAAATTCTAGATATGAATATTTTGGTCTTTTAC